GTATTGTAACTTTATGTTCTTTTCCATTTATATTTCGTGAAAATAAGTTGAGCCAATTGAATATTTGATACATGTATTTCAGGAAAAGAAGAATGAAGAATATCACGATCAGCGCTTTGAAAAAAAGCTCGAACTTTTCAAGAGTCATTTGCGTTGATGCAATTGTGGAAACCACTAATTTTCCTAACAACAAAAGGAAAGAAATTGAGATGCTTCTATAGTTCTCGAAAATAGAAATTGTCACATGTTTTGCGACAACCAACAGTTATTGTCTTGAAGATCAAAGAAATTCTCTTTCAATCGTACAACTTGCAAAAAAAAGGCAAAAAAGTCGCCCGAACTTCGTCGAAACGGGTCTTTGCTGTCTTTTCTACTAAAACTCGAGTGGATCTGACTCTTGTTACTCACCTACGAATACGCAACGGAGATCACCACAAGAATAACTTAACCACTTGTGATTTCTTCAATCTGAAGGCCGAATACGAAAGCTTTCAAGATCGACAAAGATAGATAGCTCACTGAAGTCTCTCTACAACAGTACTATTTTCCAATAAAACTCAAATAGCGCTGTATTGGTTTCTAAAACAAACTCCGTGCTGTTGTTGTAAGGAGGTAAAAAACCTCAAAAATCCAATTTAAAAAAGTAAACAAACAAGGCTAAGCTCCACAAAAGGGTCTGCCCTATTTCTCTTTTTAAAGGCCGGAAAGAAAGTAATAGCCCTTGAAAGAATCTGAGGCCAAGGTTTTTCACAAGTTTTCAACCACTTCATCAAGTCAATAAGGATAATTTGACTAGTCAATTCTTCGATAAACGAAATTTATTAAATAATCTGCCTAATCAATCAAAGCACCAATTCTGTAAGCCAATATATTAGAAAAAGTTTCATCCATTATTTCTTTGAAAATTGGTTTCGATTCTGTCATTATCTTTGTGGAATAGCTTCAACCTTCGTAACCTGGAGTACTCTCATGCACGACAGAATGTACGTACGACTCCCAATTCAAAAAGGCTGATAATGTCTTGATATATGTACATATATAAGCCTATGCGAGGATTCTGACGACATTTGAGAGTCAGTATTTTACAGTCTATCGACTATTTATACGAAAGGAAGGAACATTACTCAATCCATATGTTCCTATTCCCGCAAACGATCCGAATGGTTGGAATTGTTCACTGCGAGTTTGGATGATAATACTGTTATGGTATTGAAAGGTCGCAGCAGCGTAAAATATCAATTAGAACAGCTTCCTTTGCAACACACCTTTGTATGCGAGTTGCCGCAGGATCCTCAACAGGAAAATTTCACTCGCACAGTTAGGAGGAGTTGCTATTCACTGGTTGCTCCTGCATTTTTAAGAGAAAGGGAGAACAGACCAAGAGTGGTAGCTTGGTGTCCTTGGGTAGCAGAAGAACTTTTGGACTTGGAACAGGATGAGAGATATAAAGAGTTTTCCGCGGAAGTTTTTGGTGGCTTTCGTGTTCTCGATTCTTCCAAAAACTTCACGTACGCGCAGTGCTATGGTATTTGAAGGAAATATTTCCAGACAAAAATACTCAGTCTTATGAGTAGGAGGTCACCAGTTTGGAAACTGGGCTGGTCAACTAGGAGACGGAAGAGCGATTTGTATTGGTGAACATATTAACCAAAGAGGAGAGCGTTGGGATATTCAACTAAAAGGTGCAGGAAAGACCCCATATGGGCGCTTTGCAGATGGTTTTGCAGTTTTGCGCTCGTGTATCAGAGAGTTTTTGGCATCTGAAGCACTAGCCTCTATAGGAATTCCAACCACTAGAGCTTTGTGTGTTGTTGAAACCGGCAGGGAAGTATTGCGAGACCTGTTTTACGATGGCAACGTGAAGCCAGAGCGTGGAGCTGTCTTAACTCGTTTAGCTCCAAGTTTTATTCGCTTTGGCAATTTTGAACTATTTGCGTATTACAACGATTTCGAAACTTTGAGGAAATTGGCAGACTATTGTATCAAACATTATTTTCCGGAATTTCTTGAAGCAACGTCTACTTTCAGTGACGAGAACAATCGATATGCTTTGTTTGCGACTCGAGTGGTTGAGCTGAATGCTGAACTGGTGGCCAAATGGCAAGCAGTAGGATTTGTACATGGCGTGATGAATACAGACAACTTTTCAATCTTAGGATTAACATTAGACTACGGTCCGTTTGGGTTCCTTGACAGATATGATCCTCTTTACACTCCAAACTCAACAGACTTACCTGGTAGACGATACTGCTACCTTAATCAAGCACAGGTAGCTCGATGGAACTGTCAAAAATTTGTTCAGTCACTGATTTCTCTTTATGGCGGCGCAACAGTTTTTAATATAATGGAAAAATTTGATGAAACTTATAGTTCCAGCCTTTCAACTTGCTACCAAAACAAACTTGGCTTGCTTACTTGGAATGAAGAAACGGATAAAGAGTTGGTCGATACGTTCCTTGACATTTTGCAAACTGATCAACTGGATTATACCAATACATGGAGAATGTTGGGGAATATTCAAACATCTGATGAGTTTTTACAAAAGGA